CCCCTGGACCGGGGTTTGAACCAGGGACCTGCTCGCTGAGAGGCAGCAGCTCTACCAGTTGCGCCACCATGCTGCCATTATATACATATATACATATATATATATATATATATATATACCAATATAAATACCAAATAATTACCAATAAGTATTTGCTTGTACTGTGTACTGCTAATATTTTGTCTATAAAGGGCAGAAACTGTAGATCATGCACTGATGTAGAGAGTTGAATACCTGACAGGCAGAGCAAGAAGAAGCAGTGACTCTGCCAGCCTGAGACAGAGTGAAATGTGAACAGAACGGAACAGATTAGGGCTAAAAGCTGTGTGAGTGATGCCAGAGTAAACAATGGCTAAGGAAGCAAGCAACAGATACTCAGAAGGATTATTCGGCATACACGAAGAGCACAAATATCTACAAACCAACTGTCTCCTTTCCTTTAATAAGCCTATCTGGAATGCCACTGTTAGTTGATTAAAAAAATGGCAGTGCATGCACAAAAGGGCTTCTATTTTTACAACCAGATGAAACGGGAACTTTTTCCTACATGTGCACTGACCTCCCGCAAGGGTTTTATTTTTAGGCCACCTTTCTTATCTTGATTCTGACTGTGCAAGGCAGGAAGTGTCAAACAACAGGCATGAACAGCTGAGTGCAGGCAAGAGGATTCAAGTGAGAATCTTCACATCTGATGACAATCCAAGCGTGCTCCTAAAATGTGTGTGAGCACTCACATGTGATAAAATGTCATAATTTTATCACCTGCTTCCAAAGGCAAAGGCAGAACAAGAATGTTTTCCCCATTATCTGTGTGTGTATGTTAACAAAATATCTCATGAACGGGTGAACAAATCTGAATGAAACTCACAAAGTATTCAATGGACACAGATGACGAACTTTAGGAGCTAATCCATTCGACATAGCCACCACAAATAAGCCATATTGATATATCGGAATATGGCTATAACTATCAATTTTATTGATCTCTGATTTAATGTAGTTGTAGCTGAGAGGTACTCATGACACATACTTTGTACTTCAAGCACTAGCAAATCATGAAAAATTACATGATTTATCATTGAATAATAACTCTACTTTCAGGATTTGACTGAAACAGCTATAATTTATGGGGTGCCATTTGTAAAGTTGCACATTCAAAAATTAACAGCAATATTTTGGTTTATTTAGCCTTTCATAAGAAAAAACAGATAGTTTTTTTTTTCAAAGTCAGATTTTCACATTTATAAATGTCATAGTTCCAAACTAAATATTGAATTTACAAACTAAATATTTAGTTTACAAACTAAATACTTAACTTAAATATTTAGTTAGAAAGCTAAGTATTTAGCTCCATGCTAAATATTTAGTTTACAAACTAAATGTTTAGTTTAGAAACTAAATACTTAACTTGCAAGTTAAATATTCAGTTAGAAAGGTAAATATTTAGCTCTATGCTTAATATTTAGTTTACAAACTAAATGTTTATGTCCAAGCTAAATGTTTAATTTACAAACTAAGTATTTAACTTGCAAATTAAATATTTTGTTAGTGAACTAAATGTTTAGGTGTAAATTGCATATTTAATTTCCAAGCTACATTTAGTTTGGAACTATGACATTGATAAATGTATGAATAACATAAAGAAAATATGACTTGAAAAAAGAAAAATTATGAAAGGCTAAATAAACCAAAAATAATCCTGTTAATTTTTGACTGTATAATGTATAAGAAGGTATGACAAAACTTTAATTTGTTCTTCATACATTCTCTTTATTTTACGACTTCAGTAGACATCTTTCTAATGGTCTCAAAAATTCAAATGACGAAACTACCACAGCTTTGCCTGCAAACAGTAAAATCAAGTCTAAATGAAGCGGAACAAACTCTTTTTAAAGGATGGGAAAATGTCTCTGTTTGCCCTGTAAGTTAGCAAACATGGGGCTGCAGTGCTGCATCCTGCTGAGTTTTCAGATTGACTATTATGCAGAGATATAAGACAACACGCAGCACAGCTAGGCTCACAGTTTCTTCGCTCACCTACCAAGATGAAACATACAACGCTAGCTTGGAATGAGTTATCCTCATGGTAATGAGCAAGTCCTTTTACACTGAGAGTGCTGTTACCACACATTGTGGTATGACTTATAACTGTATGAACGCAAATACAGCAGGTCAGATGGAGCCGAACCCCGCTGCAAGCACTTGTCAAATTCGAACCAAAGGCAGTCTGTGTGTTCGTTATTAAGTTAAAAATTGATGCTCAGTGTCATTGCAATGCTCTAAAAGAGGGAAAAGATGCTCCATATAGACTTATGGAAATCCATAAGGCAGTCATGAGCTTCCAAATTTCAAATACTGATCATTGAATGCAGATTATCAGATCAGTCTGCAAACAAACTAGACTGCGCTGTCCCAACCCAAAAGTGTGCCAAAATAAATAAAAAGAAAAAAGACTATGTGAAACACAGATCTCTGGATCTGAAAGGCAAGGCTTCAGCTCAGACTGATCATATTTTATTAATAAACAAGCGGTTGAAAACAGAATCTGTTTGGTCATGGCCACCAGTGACCTTCACAAAGATTCTGCTTCAAGGTATGAAGCCAAAAAACAGAATCTGTGTTTCTATAGACCAGAGTCAAGGCGTGTATTTACAGTTACTGGTGTGGAACGTGACAGACATGGAGAAAGAAATCAGCCATAATCAATAAGGAAGTAAAATCATCCTAATGGTATTTTGAGAAATATTAGCTCCTGCGTTCATTTAAAAACATTCTCAGCGACACAAGCAACTTAATTATTCTTCTATAAATAAAGTGAATGTCACTACTTGTTGATGCTGTTATGAATACTTTGAAATATTTTAGACAAGTTTTATGTTCACGAGATTTTTGTGGTAGAATAAACAAATAGATAAAGCACAAAACGTTCATTTCCTAACAGTAAACAGTTCAACAACAAAAAAATCAGAAACCAAACTCAAACTTTTTTTTAGACAAGAACTATAATTGTTTTATAATATTTATTACAAACTAAATAACGGGACATGTTAGATTTTTGTGGAACAAAATGTCACAAATAAATAAATACATAGTTTTTGATGCACCTTGACGGAGACACGAAAATTCCAGAATATATGTTAAAATGTCCTAAATCAATTATTATTCATTGTTAATAATGTTGTGTTGAAAAACGCAAGAAAGCCAAGACCTTTTATGGCAATCACACAAAACAGGAAGAACAAGATGACTGACCAAGTCATGAATCAGCACCTTTTGCATTGAAAGCTTGTGTTTGGAAGTACTTTGGTTTTTCCAACAATGTTCAGTCAGGTCATCTGGACAGTTTCTTTTTTTGTGTGTTGCAAGACGTTTCGCCCTCCATCCCTCTGCAGAGTCACAAACAAACTGTTTTCCCCACTGAGCAGTACATTCCTACAGTGGACCAACCAGTTTGTTGGTGATAAGATGGTTTCTAAGGGCCATCCTCTCCCCCGTCGACTCCTCCCAGGCAACTCCTCCTCTCGACAGTTTGTTTGTGACCCCTCAGACTGATGAAGCCCTTATATAAAAAGAAAATACATTTAAAACCTAAGCAAACAGAAAAAAAAACATTAGTAAAGTATATTTACACGTTCAAAGGAGTGGGTATAGAAGCATAAACTTATTGTTACACCCAACCTTCTTACATCTATAGCATCATCCACTAATTTACTATTCATGGTAATTTGGTTATAACATTGTGTTTTAGTATTTTATATATCCATATCTATAACTGGTGCAATGCAATCATATTTGCATGCCATTATGATCAAGCATCAAGAATTTTTTAACATGTTAAAACTATTTCTAGATCAATATACCACAATACAGTAATAATTGATAAATTTGTTAATTGTTCACATTGATAATAGCAGTAATAACTACCATTATTTCCCATATTGATATGTGGTGATGACCATCTTCTTAAATGATGTTTTAAACTGTTTTATGTTTGGACATTGCTTGATTTTCATGATTAAACCATTCCACAGCTTCACCCCACAATTTACAAAAGCTTTTTCTTGTGGTTCTGAATTTTAACGTTTTAAATTCATCTTTTTCCCTTAAATAATAAAGTTCTTCCAGGTTTGAGAAAAGCTTTTGAACGTTTCCCGGTAAGACATTATTTTTTGCTTTAAACAAGATAAGAGCATGTTATGGTAATAAGAACATAGTAAAATATGCTCATCAATGAGCTCACAGAAACAAGACACACAAACTAAAATGATGTCATAAGATGCTGGTCCCTTTAGCATGTGGGTGGACAAACTAAATAACCAACAATCAAAACATCCATAATTGCACTAAACAGAGTATGCTACTTAATGACACAAGCTGTGCTCCAGTACAGAAGAAGATGAAACTCATAAACAAACACACGCCAGCCTTGTTTCCCTAACGGAGGCTAATGAAACCAACTAATTAGTGGGAAAAGTGGGATGAAACAAAGGCAGGCCATTACATTTGATTGTCATCAGTAATGTAAACACGCAGCATTAAGTTGATACAATTAGATTCCTAACCAAAGCTCTGTGGTGGGAAAGACATGTGAGAACTAATTAAAGGCATAATTATTGGGACGCTGTGCAACATCAGTCAGGGTATAAGTAATGTGAGTAAATCTTTGACACATTTATCTAAATTTATATGTTAACTAACAGTAAAATAAATCAATTACTGACTAAGTTTGTGTCGTTTTCTGCGATTGTTTAAATTCCCGTTAGTTTCGACTGCAGCGTTTATTCTGTTTCTCCATGTCGGACTTAAATGGCAAGTCCCTGAGCACCTTGGCACAGCCAAAAATGCCACAATGCTCAAATACCAAACTCTGAATGGTCTTGATGAAATCCCTATGCAGCACAGCCATTATACAGTTCAGCACTCTCCGGATGGAGCAGACATCTCTCTCTCTCTCTTTCTCTCCGTCTCCCATTGGAACAGACACGCAGGAGCCAGTAGTCATGGTAACTTCATTCTGGGTAAACTTAAGGATGCGCACACACACAGTATTTTTTCATAAATACTTCATGGATGGCAGCAAACTGGCTTTGTAGCTAGTTAGCTGTTCAAATGGTGAGTGAATGGCTTTGTAGGAACAATGTGAGTCTTCTGAATATTTTTTTAAATATATATTTTTTAATGTGTGTGCCAGCCTGAGGTAAAATATGAGCAAAACGCCCAACAGATGTCAGGCTTCATTACGGCACATTATTTCCACCCAGTTATGCATCCTAATGGGCAAGCAAACGGCCACTTATCATTTAGATTAATTGATGATTAGTTTATTTGTAAAGTCAACATTTGTGCTTTAGATTGTTGATTTTTGACGCTTTATTAATGTGAAAAGTATTATAAAATTAAACTTTTTTATTCTGTATGCACAGTTATTGCATTTGAAAGGCTTGACTAAACCAGAACAATTGGAAAAACTTCTTCAAAATAGGTTTTAAACTTGTCATGTTCTTTTTGTATTTTTTTTAAGTAAAAAGTCTGTAAAAAATAACAGTGTGCATTAGTGCACTTTTGTTATTTTTTATCATTTGGGAACTATGACAGTTAACTTTCTTCATAAATCTAAGTCAGTTAATTTCCTTCAGTTGCAGTTTGATTTTTTATTACCATTGATGAACATTTTAGAGAAAGTTCTGTCAAAAATGTATGAACAGAGGACAAACTTTTAAAGTTGACAAAGTCTGTATTTAAGTTTTTTTTTTTTCCTATTTTACAAAAAAAATAGTTGGACTTAAAGAAATCTAAGTAGAAAATTTAGTTAATGGGTGACAAAAACTCCTTCCAGGTTTTTTTTTTTTTTTTTTTTTTTTTTTAATACCTATTGAATGTTGCACTTAAACTGAAAAAAACATTCTGAAGCCATAAACAGTATACACCAGATGTATGTTCTATTTATTTTATCTTTATATATGACATGAAAGCAATGCAGTAGTGAGAGCTATTGCCTCACAGCATGCCAGTCGTAGGTTCAAACCTGGCTGGGGCCTTCCGGTGCATGTTCTCTTCTTGCATGCATGTTTTTTTTTTTT